AGTCTCATGGTCTCTCCTGCCTGGGCTGGCTTTGAACCTCGATCCTCAGATCTCAGCCTCCTGAGTAGCTAGGATTACAGGCGTGAGCCACCAGCGCCTGGCCTGAGCTTCTTTTGCTCAAGGCTAACACTTTACCATGTGAGCCACAACTCCACTTGTTACTATTTTTTGGTAGTTTAATGAAGTGCAGGCTGGCTTTGAACTGCGATCCTCAGATATTAGCCTCTTAGCTAGAATTACAGGCATGAGCCATCAGTACCTGGCTTTAAAATCCTTTTTATAGCTTTGTAATTTTATGTCATTTTTATTTTTGACAGATCTCACTTTTAATTGACAAACTATATACTTCTAGTCAGTTTCCCAATTTCCCAAATTATGCCTCCGCATAATTTTTTACCTATGATTAGAAATGTACATGATAGGAACTCCAGGGATCTTCCGAATTCTTCTTTTAAGGTCACGGTCAACTGTAGCCACGATGTAACACTTGTGCTGAAAGAGAGATTCAATGAATACATCTAGTTCTGAGTATATATATATATATATATATATATATATATATATATCTATTTTAAATTTTTTGGGGGGGATCCAGTCGTGGGGCCTGAACTCTGGGCCTGGGTGCTGTCCCTCAGCATTTCAGCTCAAGGCTAGCACTCTACCACTTGAGTCACAGTGCCACTCCCGGCTTTTTTTCTTTTTGCTTATGTGGTGCTGAGGAATCAAATCCAGGGCCTCATGCATGCAAGGCAAGCGCTCTACCACTGAGCCACCTTCCTAGCCCTGAGTATATTTTTTTAATGACTTCTGGAAATGACACTTCTACTACAGAGGAATGTGTACTGATGAATGAATATTTTATTCATTTCATAGTAACTAGCATAAGGAAGACTGCAAAATTTGTGGAGTAGCTACTATGGGTAATGAGCTCTTATTTGTGAAATAAAGAACAAGTTGCTTGGGCTGAATGTGGTTGATTCTAAGAATTTTGAAAGGGACAAGATAAAAACTTACTAAGTGAAGTAGGAACCAGTAGCTCATACCTCTAACCTTAGCTACTCAGAAGGCTGAGATCTGAGGATTGCAGTTCAAAACCAACTCTAGCAGCAAAGTCTATAAGACACTTATCTAGCAAAAAAATCTGGAAGTGGGGCTGGGAAGGTGGCTCAGTGGTAGCCTCCTGGGTAAGCTAGGATTACAGGCGAGAGCCACCAGCGCCCGGCTGTTTTTTTTTTTGGGGGTCCAGTCAGGGTCTAAACTCGGGGCCTGGGCTCTGTCCTCACCTCTTCAGCTCAAGGCTAGCACTCTACCACTTGAGCCACAGCGCCACTTCCGGCTTTTTTTCTGCTCATGTGGTTCTAAGGAATCGAACCCAGGGCCTCATGCATGCAAGGCAAGCGCTCTACCACTGAGCCACCTTCCCAGCCCCCAGTTGGTTTTTTTTTTTTTTTGCTGGTCCTGGAGCTTGAGCTTAGGGCCTGTGCTTCTTTTGCTTAAGGCTATTACTTGAGTCACAGCTCTACTTTGGCTTTGTTTTGGGTAGTTAATTGGAGATAAAAGTCTCACAGCCTTTCCAGCTGGGTTCAAACCACAATCCTCAGATCTCAGCCTATTGAATAGCTAGGATTACTAGTGTGAGCCACTGGCTCCTGGCAGCATTGAGTTTTATAAAAAGTTATAATGTGGCAACTGTGCTATGGGAAATTAAGGGAAATGCTGGCCCCATCCATGGAATATGTGGCTAAAGGTCAAAGTGGTAATCAGATGAATGTCATGGTGATTATCATCTAGGAGAAGTGAACTCTCTTTTCCCTTCCACTTGCCTCCCCTTCTGTCTTTCCTTTTTTTTTTTTTTTTTTTTAGGGGTGGGGAGACAATACTAGTGACTAGTGATCAAACTCCAGGCTTGGTACATGCTAGGTAAGTGTTCAACATTGAGTTAAATCTCCAATCTGGGAGAGGTCCTTATAAAAGCAATCAATAGCAGCTCTTGTGTTTGACAAGGGTCAGAATGGAAGAATTCAAAACATACTTATCCTATGGTATGTGTGAGACAGAACCCTGAGAAATTCTCAGATGTGGCTGAAAAACATTGTAGAGAGGGGACAACATTCCTGTGAGGAGGAAATGCACCTTATTTTATTGTCTTTTTTTTTTTTTTCCAGTCGTGGTCCCTGAACTCTTGGCCTGGGCGTTGTCCCTCAGCTCTTCAGCTCAAGGCTAGCGCTCTACCACTTGAGCCACAGCGCCACTTCTGGCTTTTTTCTTTTTGCTTATATGGTGCTGAGGGCCTCAGGCATGCAAGGCAAGCGCTCTACCACTGAGCCACCTTCCCAGCCCCAATCTGTCATATTATTATACCTACACTAGTCCACACAAATCATTTTACAGAGATTTGGGGGATAAAGAATCTGTCCCAAGTCACATACCAAGTCAGTGCAGGTATTGAGATTTGAAAGCATGTTCTCCTTTCATTATAGTTGGAGTATATGTTTTCATTCCATTCTCTCAAGTAAATGAAAATGTCTATGCTTGTTATGAAAGGTTGCTATACAGTCCTTTTCATTTTACCATTTATATTCCTAAATATTTTACTGACCATGACCTTTCAAGTGATAAGCTTGCCTTAGGAAAAAAAAAAGCAGCCACATGCCAGTGGCTCACCCCTGTAATCATAGCTACTCAGGAGGCTGAGATCTGAGGATCACAGTTCAAAGTCCGGAGACTCTTTATCTCCAATAAACTACCAGAAAACTAGAAGTGGCACTGTGGCTCAAGTGGTAGAGCACTTTCCTTGAGCTGAAGAGCTCAGGGACAGTGACAGTGCCCAGGCCCTATGACCTACCGAAAATAAAATAAATAAATAAAACTAAAAAAAAAAAAAAAGACGGCACTGCCAGGTGCCTGTGGCTCATGTCTATAACCCTAGTTATTCAGATGGCTGACATCTGAGGATCATGTTTGGAAGCCAGCCTAAGCAAGACCGTCCATGAGACTCTTACCTCTAGCTAACCACCAAAAAGCTGGAAAAGGAGCTATGGATCAAGTGGTAGACTGCTAGCCCTGAGTACCAAAAGCTCAGGAACAGTGTCCAAGCCTTCAGATTAAGCCCCAGGACTGGCACAAAAATATAAAATAAAGATGATACCTGAGTTACTCTTTGAACTAAGCAGTCATCTGCATAGGTTCCTTTGTGTGTGCATGGTAATCGTTCAAATCGTGGATCCTTGGCGATTCTGTGGGATTATAACAGTGTATTAATGAAAATGTTCAAACAATAGATAACTTCCTTCAACAAATCTGTAAAGCAAACATAACCTGATTATCTGGAGATTTTTCAGCTTGCTGACTGATGGCTGCTATGCTTAGGGCCAATGACTTAGCACAAAACTCTGAAATTCTATTTTCCATAAAAGAAAGCAGGTCCCAACATTAATTTGCTCAAATCTTCACAGTGGGGAAAAGCCAGGATGAAAATGCAAATTAGTCTTGACCCAACCACATCCCTTTTGGGAAGTTGTCTTACACAGATGTAGTGGAAGGACAGGCTAGGGTTGGTCATTACCACACAGGTTATGGTACTGAAAAACCGAAGGTTATCAAAACATCCATCAACAAGGTAAAAGATAAATGTGTTTTGGTGTCCCATCCTATTAAAAAATCCCAACAAGGTAGTGGTTGCACCAACAGTGGTACAAAGGCACCGGCTGGCATGTCCTTGGGCTAGAGAGCAGGACGTCTGGCTTTGGAGCTGTTATCCTTCTTGCGATAGCAACAAATGAACAAATTTAAAATGGGTGATGTTGAGAAAGACAAGAAGATTTCTGTTCACAAGTGTGCCCAGTGCCACCCCACTGTAAAAGGAGGCAAGCACAAGACTGGGCCTAATCTCCATGGTCTGTTTGGTCGGAAGACAGGTCAAGCTGCCGGATTCACTTAGACAGATACCAACAAGAACAAAGGCATCACCTGGGAAGAGGATACACTCATGGAGTATTTGGAGAATCCCAAAAAGTACATCCCTGCAACAAAAATGATCTTCGCTGGCATTAAGAAGGGAGATAGGGGGCTGGGAAGGTGGCTCAGTGGTAGAGCGCTTGCCTTGCATGCATGAGGCCCTGGGTTCAATTCCGCAGCACCACATAAGCAAAAAGAAAAAAGCCGGAAGTGGCACTGTGGCTCAAGAGGTAGAGCGCTAGCCTTGAGCTGAAGAGCTGAGGGACAGCGCCCAGGCCCAGAGTTCAGGGTCCACGACTGGACCCCCAAAAAAAAGAAAAAAAGAAAAAATAAACCCCTCTCTGATACTTCCTCTAGATTTGCTAGTCTGTCCAGAAAAACAGTAAAAACTTTTACTTGTTATTTCTGGATAGGAATAAACAGGCAAAGTAAAAATATGGAGGACTTTTACTTTTTATTACTTATATTTTTTTAATATTGTTTGTCATGAAAAATTCAAGTGTATTATTTTAATATAAAATTGAAAAGCCAAAATTACTCCCACATGCATGTTCTTTCTATTGCACAATGATGATGTTAGACTGAAACAAATACAAACACAGGGTAGCACTGAGACACTGAGTGCAACAGAATACTCCCTTATTACAGGGACTGGGTATAAGGTCCATGTGGGTTGTGTGAATTTAGAAAAAGGACATGGAGGTAAAATGGAAGATGAAAAACTGTACTCCCACTAAATAAACACAAGTAACTTTTTATTTCCTTGCCTGTCCAGCTAACATTGTATTTCTTTTCCCCTTCATAGCCAAAGCTGGTGTCTGTTTTTCCTACTCATCCTTTGTTTTTAATTAAAAATTTGCCTTTCCTCCTTTTAGTTAAAAGTATTTCATATATATATATATATATAAAAGGATAAAGAATGATGAACACCTGTGTCTACCCTCAGAAAATGTTTCATTAAGAAATGAAACATAGGGGCTGGGAAGGTGGCTCAGTGGTAGAGCGCTTGCCTTGTATGCCTGAGGCCCTGGGTTCGATTCCTCAGCACCACATAAGAAAAAAGAAAAAAGCCGGAAGTGGTGCTTGGCTCAAGTGGTAGAGTGCTAGCCTTGAGCTGAAGAGCTGAGGGACAGCACCCAGGCCCAGAGTTCAGGCCCTACGACCGGACCCAAAAAAAAATAAAAATAAAAAAAATAAAGTACCCTCTCTGGGCTTAATCTTTTTTCCTTTTCCACAAGTAAATATTATAAAAAATTAGGTGTTTTATCATTCTGACACACATTTTTCTACATAGGTAGGATTTCATATTAGCTATATCTCTCTATATAATACATATATATAGTATATACATTACTATATAAATACCTAAAAATAATGTAGTATTGATTTGTATATTTTCATTTGTTTTATTCTGTACTAGTATGGGGGCTTGAACTCTATCTCATGCTCTTGCTTAGCTTTTTTGCTCAAGGTGGGCACTCATTAATTGGAGATAAGTCTCATGGATCTTTGAACCACGATTCTCAGATCTCAGCCTCCTGAGTAGCTAGGATTACAGGTGAGAACCATGAGTGCCTAGCAATTTGCATGTTTTTAAACTGCAGATATATGGTTCGTGCCATGCATATTTTCATCCTTTTCTTTGTGAAGGGTGGGGAGGAGACAGGTTTGGCCAGGAGTTTGGACTAAGAGCCTCATGCTTACTAGGAAGTTACTCTTCCACTGAGGCACATTTCCAGTTGTCTTTTCTTGGTTATTTTTGAGATGGGTCTCACTTCCTGCTTGCATGAATACCTTGACTGATCCATCTACTTTAGGCTTCTGATTGTTGCTGGGATGGAGCTTTGCAAATTTGGTTTATAACATTGATTCTCCCAAAATCAGCCTCTCATGTAAAAATTTCTGAACTTAATATATCAGCTTTTTGAATCACAAAATTCATTTGATTTTTATTTTAAACTAGTAGGCTAAAAAAAAACTTTGGACACTAAAGATGAAGGAGGACCAAAACAATCATCAATATAACAACCTAGAATAAACTTAGACTAGCTATTCTTACCTTAGAGCCACTCGATACTTCTGCCCCAATTTCTCAATTTCAGCCATTACACAGTCAGTTATGCAGGGGATACCTGAGAGAAAAAAGAAAAAAAGCACAAAAAATTAGTAACAGCACTTGTGAAGAAATCTTCTGAATCTCCTATTGGTCTTTAAGAGACCAGTAGACTTATGGAATGACAGCAGAATAACACTATAATAAACAGAAAGGACTAGAAGAAACCTATTTACAAAGAAGCTGAGAAACTGTCCTAACTCCACATCCAGACTTCGACAACTATCTGTCAAAAGTTAAGTCACATCCAGTCATTATTTTTATAAGTTCTAGATGGAAAATTTTAAATGAGAGCCAGAAGAAAGCATGAATTTTCAAATTGTCCAACAGAAAGCTACAATAGAATAAAAATAAAGCAGGTAAAATTCTTTACACATTCGTTAAAGGGATAATTTTTTTTTACTGTATAAAGCTTACAGTAGTTTATGATAATATATTATATACCAGACACTTTATAAGAATAACTTCACCTACTCCACCAGGTAGCATTGTTGCCTTAATTATCATCATCCTCATTTTATAATGAGAAACCTGAAAGTTACATAACTGCATAAAAAATGGTGAAGTTGGAGCCAGGCACTGGTGGCTCATGTCTATAATCCTAGCTACTCAAGAGGCTAAGATCTGAGAATCGAAGCTCTAAACCAGTCCAGGTAGGAAAGTCTGTGAGACTTTGATCTCCAGTTAGATACCAAGAAAAAAAAAAAAAAGCTGGAATTGGAGCTATGTCTTAATGGTAGAGCATCTATCCTTGAGCAGATAAGCTCAGGCACAGCATAGTCCAAGTTCCAGTACCGGCACAAAACAGAAAGAAAGAAAGAAAGAAAGAAAGAAAGAAAGAAAGAAAGAAAGAAAGAAAGAAAGAAGGAAGGAAGGAAGGGAGAGAAAGAGAGAGAGAGAAAGAGAGAGAGAGAGAGGGAGGGAGAGAGAGAGGGAGAGAGAGAGAGAGAGGGAAGGAGGGAGGGAGGGAGGGAAAAAGCAAAGAAGCAGAGGAGTGGCTCAAGTGGCAGAACACCACTTGAGCAAAATAGCCAAGTGTAAGTGTGAGGCCTTTAGTTCAAGGCCCAGTACCAACAAAAGTAAGTAAAATAAAATAAGCATAATAAAAAATAAAATAAATAAAATACTGATACATGGCTGGGGTACTGGTAGTGCTTACCTGTAAACCTAGCTACTAAAGGATAAGATTTGAATAGCCAGGTGCTGGTGGCTCACGAGTGTAATCCTAGCTACTCAGGAGGCTGAGATCTGAGGATTATAGTTCAAAGCCAGCCTGGGCATGAAAGTCTGTGATACTCTTTTTTTTTTTTTTTTTTTGTCGGTCGTGGGGCTTGAACTCTGGGCCTGGGCACTGTCCCTCAGCTCTTCAGCTCAAGGTGAGCGCTCTACCACTTGAGCTACAGCGCCACTTCCGGTTTTCTGGTGGAGTCTCACAGTCTCTCCTGCCCGGGCTGGCTTTGAACCGCGATCCTCAGATCTCAGCCTCTGAGTAGCTAGGATTACAGGCATGAGCCACCAGCGCCCAGCTATCCGTGAGACTCTTATCTCCAATAAACCACCAGAAAACTGGAAGTGGCGCTGTGGCTAAAGTGGTAAGAGTGCTGGCCTTGATCTGAAGAGCACAGGGACAGCACCCAAGCCTAGAGTTCAAGCCTCACGACTGACAAAAAAAAAAAAAAAGGCTAGGAACTAGGATTTGAGAATCTCGGTTCAAAGTCAGCCTGTATGTATGTCTATAAACTCTTATTTCTGATTAACCACCAAAAAGCTGGAGGTGGAGGTGTACCTCAAGGGTTAGAACACCAACTTTAATTAAGCAAAAGAGCTCAATGAAAAGTGTGAGGACCAGAGTTCAGCCCTAGTACTGACACTAACACACTAAAATACTCATATATGCTAACAACAGGGATTATCTTGAAAGATCATAATACATAAATGAAGACAAAGCATGAATTTTATAAAATGTCCAGAATAACCAGATCTAGACCAGAGGGGCAGAAGCAGATCTGTGTCACTCAGGAGGAAGTTTGGGGGTTGGGTATAGGCTAGAAAGGGTTGAGTAGCTAAAGGATTTGGGGTCTCATAGCAATAAAAATGTTCTAAAATTGTAGTAATGAATTGATTCATAAGCTGTGAGAATATGCTAAAAGCCATTAAGTTGTACACTTTAAGTACATAAATAATATCTGAATAAGTTGTTTTCTTTCTTTTTTTTTTTTTTTGGGTCCGGTTGTGGGGCTTGAACTCTGGGCCTGGGCACTGTCCCTCAGCTCTTCAGCTCAAGGCTAGCGTTCTACCACTTGAGCCACAGCGCCACTTCTGGCTTTTTTTCATTTTGCTTATGTGGTGCTGAGGAATCGAACCCAGGGCCTCAGGGATGCAAGGCAAGCACTCTACCACTGAGCCACCTTCCCAGCCCCGAATAAGTTGCTTTCTAAAAAAAGAAAAACAATGCTTTTTGTTGTTGGTGGTCATGGGGCTTGAACTCAGGTTCTGGGCACTGTCCCTGAACTCTTCTTGCTCAAGGCTAGCGCTCTACCACTATAGCCACAACTCCACTTCCTGCTTTCTGGTGCTTAGAGAAGAGTCTCTTGGGAACTTTTCTGCCAGGGCTGGCTTTAAATTATGATCCTCAGATCTCTGCCTGCTGAGTAGCTAGGATTACAGGTGTGAGCCAGCAGCATCCAGCTAATTTTATTAATAAATAAAAATAACCTCTAATTCACATAGATTAAATATGAACTTTTTGAAATGCCCTTTTCTAAGGAAAAGCATTATAGGAACCTTTCTGTATTTATAATAAAATTTAAAAATTAGTAACACTTTATGTGTGTGTGTGTGTGTGCACACGTGCACATGAATGCACGCGCACATTGTTATCAAGACTTGAACTCAGGGCCTTGAGCTCTTACTCTTTTTTTTTTTTTTTTTTGCACACAGATGGTGCTCTTGAGCCACTTCAGCCACACCTCTAGTCCAGCTTTTCTGTTGGTTAACTGGAGAGTCTTTTTTTTTTTTTTGGTTGGTTGCAGGGCTTGAACATTCAGCCTGGGCACTGTCCCTCAGCTCTTCAGCTAAAGGTGAGCGCTCTACCACTTCAGCCACAGCGCCACTTCTGATTTTCTGGTGGTTAATTGGAGATGAGTCGCAGAACTGGGACATTCCTGCCTGGGCTGGCTTTGAACCATGATCCTCAGATCTCAGCTTCCTGAGTAGATAGGCTATTGGTGCCTGGCTTTGGAAAGTCCTTCTACTGACAAGGAAACTAAGTCAACAGGACTCTAAGCAGAAGAAGACGCCAACTAGATTCTATTTGGTTTATTAGGTAGAAAAGAAAGAACACTGGGCAGGTTCAGTTGTGTAAACCTATAATCTTAACAACTTTGAAAGCAAAGACTGGGAATCAAGGTTCACAATTAATTCATTTGTTATTAATGTTATGTAAGTCTAACTTTCACTTATAACTTTAAATGGGTTAAAAAATAAATATAAACAAAATTTGTTAAATTGAAAACTGTTACTGGTAAATTACATACTGATGTGTAAACTACTTCAGACCTTCATTTATTCATTGGCACAAATAAACACCATCTGAATAAACTTAGAAATTGACCATTTTCAAACTTCTAGATATGTGATTGAAAAATGGCAAAATGTCCTATTTAGCTTTTGCATACTGGAATAAAATGGACAATGTATTCTCCTTAATACAATAGAATATATATACAGACATACTGAAAAGAATACAGATTTTCACACACATTTTTTTGGTGTGCTGATGCTGGGGCTTGAACTCAGGGCCTGGGTGCTGTCCCTTGGTTTTTTCACTCAAGGCTAGCAAGCTACCACTTAGGCCACAGCTCCACTTTAGGTTATTTGTTGGTTAACTGGAAATAAAAATCTCATAAACTTTCCTGCCCAAGCTGGCTTTGAACTGTGATGATCCTCAGACTTCTAAGTACCTAGATTTACAGGCATGAACCACTGGCACCCAGCATCAGAAATTGTAATTCCTGAATTCTAATAAGAAAAGTCCCCCTTTTTGTGTCAAAAATTCATATCTATAACGGTAGTCAAAGGACTGTTTACTGAATTGTGAGAATTTAATTAACTCCTAGTCAAGTCTGCATTATATATCAAGTAATTGAAAGTTACCAGAGTTATGACAGTTCCAATTAAAAGGCTAGCAATTCATTTATTAAGAAGCTCACATGGAGCTGGGCTCCGGTGGCTCACACCTGTAATCCTAGCTACTCAGGAGGCTGAGATCCTAGGCTCATGGGTCAAAGCCAGCCTAGGCAGGAAAGTCCTTGAAACTCTTATCTCCAATAAACTACTCAGAAAACTGGAAGTGGTGCTGTGGCTCAAGTAGTAGAGTACTAGCCTTGAGCTGAAGAGCTCAGGGACAGTGTCCAGAACCAGAGTTCAAGCCCCATGACTGACCAAAAAAAAAAAAAAAAGAACCTCACATGGACTTGTTTATTTTTTCTTTCATATATTTGGATAAATAGGATTATTCCTTACAGATGTCAGAATCATAAAAGGATGATACTCACACTTGGCATATAGACAGTCCATCATTGACTGTACTAAGTCCAGTTTGGCTTTAATGGAAAAGTTGATAAAGTTGGTATCAACCAGGATGTGGTAAGGTGGGCCCAGTTGTGTATTATATTGGAAAAATAAGCAGGAAGGATGTTGGGGGCTGAAGAAAAAAGAAAATAAGAACAAAATTAGGATTAAATTGACACTTTGGTATCAATTAAAACAAAATGAAAAAAAGGAATCTCTCCTCCAGATAATTTACTATACACAAAACACCTTTTCAGCCAGGCACAGATGATTCTTGCATATAATCCTAATTCCTCACAAGGCTGAGGTCTGAGGATTCCAGTTCAAAGCCAGTCAGGGAAGTAAAGTCCACAAGACTTTTATCTCCAGCTAACCACCCAAAGGTTGTTAAGTGGAGTTGTGGCTCAAGTGGTAGAGCATTAGCCATGAGCAAAAAAAAGCTGAGAGCTGGCATTCAGGCCCTGAGTTCAATTACAAAAAACAAACAAACAAACAAAAAACCTGAAATACCTTTCCCCGTGTTCATTGGGAATAAATCTTAAAAAAGGTAAAGAAAAAAACAACAGCATATCTAATCTCATATCATTAGCATGCTTGTCACAACTTTTATTTTTATTTTATTTTATTTTTTTTGGGTCCGGTCATGGGGCCTGAACTCTGGGCCAGGGCACTGTCCCTCAGCTCTTCAGCTCAAGGCTAGCACTCTACCACTTGAGCCACAACACCACTTCCGGCTTTTTTCTTTTTGCTTATGTGGTGCTGAGGAATGGAACCCAGGGCCTCATACATGCAAGGCAAGCGCTCTACCACTGAGCCACCTTCCCAGCCCCGCTTGTCACAACTCTTAAAATGCAATGACCCTCTGGTGCCCTCCATCTTGTATGTACATTTTTCTAATTTGGGGAGGGGAAGGGAAATAACAAAATGTAAAAATAAGGATACAGGTTGACCCATTGTAACAATGAGATGTACAATGAAAACGAACTTTATAACTTTGGGGGGAGGGGAGGAGTTGGGGAGGTGAGGAGGAAAGAGATAGTAGGGGAAAAACAAAGAAAGGTGTAACGATACTCGATATGAAATGTACTCATTACCTTACTCATGTAACTGTAACCCCTCTATATAGTATCTTTACAATAAAATATATATATTAAAATAATAAAATGCAATGATCCAACTTAGTTTTCCCTCTATGCGGAGGTTAGCCATTGATACAAAGAAGAATATTTTTTTTTTGTGCCAGTCATGGGACTTGAACTCAGGGCCTGGGCTTCGTCCGAGCTCTTGGGCTCAAGGATAGTGCTCTACCACGTTGATCCACGGTGCCACTTCTGGTTTTCTAGTGGTTAATTGGAGATAAGAGTCTCATGGACTTTTTTGCCTCGGCTGGCTCTGATCTGAGATCCTCAGATCTCAGCCTTCTGAGTAGCTAGGATTATAAACATGAGCCACTGGCACCCAGCTAAGAATATAGTTCTTTGAGTAGAATAATACTAAGTTTGTCATTTTCATAGGATCCTAAATTCCTGTAAAAATGTGATTTGGAGAAGAGTTTACCCAAGGATAGGATTATGTGTTACACAATCCTACAACAAAACCTGTTTCTCATTTAAAAGTTAATGATCTGCAAATTCTAGTTCATCGGCCAGCATCCACCTGTGATAATATAGCCACTAGCAATGCGGGCCATAATAAGAATAAGGAAAATGTGGCAGGTTTAAGTATGATTTTTGTTGTTGTTGGTATGAAGGGTTTAACTACTAGTGACATAATTGCTAAATATATTGATTTTAAAAGAATGTCCTTGTTGGTTCCTGGTGGCTCACACATGTAATCTCAGGAGGTTGGGATCTAGAGGATCATGGTTTGAAGTCAGCCTGGACAGTAAGTCTAGGATATTCCAATTTCAAAATAAACAGAATAAAAACTGATTTAGAGGCGAGGCTCAGTGAGGGCTCACCTGTTTTGGTGAGACCCTGAGTTTAACCTCCAATACTAGCTAATAAACAAATGAACAAATAAATAAATAGTTATTTTAAAATGACCTCCATTCTGAAAAATATATTCTTACTTTTCTGGTGGGTGATACAGTATGCCTTTTTTAAAAAGTTGGGATGATAAGCAGCAGCAATTAAAAAAATATTTCTTTTCCATCCCAACTGTTTGTGTGTGTGCCAGTCCTGGGACTTGAACTCAGGGCCTTAGTCTTTTATCTTCTTTTGTTCAAGGCTAGAGTTCTACTACTTGAGCCAGAGTACAACTTGCAGCTTTTTTCTGAGTAGTTTATAGTAGAGATAAAGTCCCATGGGACTTTCCTGCCAGAGCTGGCTTTGAACAGCAATGCTTAAACCTCAGCTTCCTGAATATGTAGGATTATAAGCATGAGCCACCAACACCCAGCTGTCTTTCTTAGTCTTGAAATTACCTTTAAGTAGTTGTACAAAAGAGTTTCAATTCAACATGTCAGATTATGAGTACAATATATCTGACCATTATCACCCTTTCCATCATTCTCCTCATCCCCCCCCTCATCTTCTCAAATTACTGGGTCTATTTTCACAGATGTATATTGAATATTTAACTGTTTTCTTGCACTCTTCCTTTTTCCTTTTGTCTGTCCCCACCTTGATCTCCCCCAGAAAAACAAAAAAAACAAAAACCATGTTTAAATTTTCTGGTATTCATTTCAATTAAAAGATTCTGGACAAACAATAAAATAACCAGATTATATCTGCAGAGGGTTTTTGTTTTTGTTGTCTATACCAGTCATGGGGCTTGAACTCAGGGCCTAGGCATTGTCCCTGAGCTTTTGTGCTTAAGGCTAGAACTCTATCACTTGAGTAACAGCTTAAGTAGTGATTAATTGGAGGTAAGAGTCTAATGGACTTTCCTGCCTGAGCTGGTTTCAAACTGCAATCCTCAGATCTCAGGCTTCTGAATCCTTAGGATTACAGGTGTAAGGCGCTGGCACCCACCATATCCCCAGAGTTTTAAGAGAAAGTTTACTGCTCCAGAAAATGTAAAACCTTTAAAAGCATTAGCATTATATTGTGTTGGTTAATAACAAAATTTCACCTGTATAATTACTAACAAACACCTGAGCATGTCAGCTCAGGGAAAGCCTGGATTCCTAAAAGGTTCATGGCTTTACTTTAGGCATGTCTTTTCTAGTTTTAATGGAAAACTTAAACGTTTTGTTTACTCACACTTCTCTTTCCTTCAGTGCAGTGGGATCCTTCTTTTCTTTCTTTTTAGGCTTTAACCTATCCTTTTCTTTACTGAAAAAAAAGTAAATTAAATTCAGGGAAGAAGAAATCAAAGTATTTATAGTATTTTTTAAATTAGTTTACATTATTGGTGTATGGTGGGGGATATTTATAGTTATATTTCTACATGTTTACAATATATTCCAATCTCTAATTACTCCCTTCCCTCTTTCTTCCCTTCTGAAATATTTTCAACAAGTTTCAATGTTCTATTTCCATAAATGCAAAATATCTTCTTGGACTATATTCTCCCTTT